AAATACATCAGAGGTAAGAGAGAATGGGAGGAAATGAGGTCAAAAGTAGAGAGAAATTTACAGAGAAGTGAACAAGAGTCATGATTTCAGAAGGATGGATTCCATAGTTGTCATTATTGCCTTCCTCATCAAGGGCATGCATCCTGCAGGGTTAAAACGTAAAAAATTAACTCCTAGAGGAATATAAAAGAGTGGAGGTGGCATTTATTGAACCCTTTATGTATTGCGTCTCTGACGTTTTGGCTTATAACTGAGAGGCTTATTTATTTAACTGGTGGAGACTATGCAAATCCATGTATTATAATAATTTAAAATATGGTTACTGAGCCTGACAAGATGTGAATTCACTTTTTAGTTTTCAAAGTTAGATGATGTGGCTTTTAAACTTCTGTCTGGGTTGTAAGGTTTTCTTGTAAAGACATCAGCTATCAATTAAACAGACTATTAGGCTGGGGACAGAAATGCTCCGGTCCGGCCTGATCTATCAGTTTATTGATGGTTCAGGAACCTTAGCTTATTGATGGACTTTTGCTTTATTGTTACCTTGGAGTAGTGTTACGTATAAGCTGATAGCAACAACTTGAGCCTTGCTCTACTCTAAGTGCTTTGCATGTACTAACTCACTTAAGACTCACAACTCTTATGAGACCTGTGCTATGATGTTCCCATTTTCAGATTAGGTTTAGAGAGGCTTGCCAAAGGTCCCATGAATAGTAAACGGGGAGCTGGGATTTGAACCCAGGCAGTCTGGTTTCACAGCTCAGTCTCTTATCTTCTAGGCTAGCTGGAGGTGAGGTTGATGTGACATCTCAGGTAATTTGAGGAGTTAGGAGTCTGAACTGTCTGGGTTGTTGTGGGTTTATGGAACTGGCCTGGGCATACCACTGTCCATATCTGTCCTCTTCCCTTTCCCTCCCAATCCCTATGCTGCCTTTTCCATCAGGGTGTCTACTTAAATTACCTCTGTCCCTCCCCAGTATGAAGACCACCTGTTTGCCCATGTTTGGCTATAAACATGTGCTGACACTGACTGACCAGGTGACCCGCTTCAATGAGGAGGTGAAGAAGCAGAGTGTGTCACGGAACCGAGATGCTCCAGAGGGTGGCTTTGATGCCATCATGCAGGCTACAGTCTGTGATGTGAGTTTGGAGGGCATGGAGTGCCAGGTGTGGTTGGCATAGATCAAAACAGGGAAGGAAGTGGCTCAACCCTGGGGATTTCTGGTGTGATGTAAGAGATGAGAACTAAGCAGAGCCTTGTGCACTATGCGTCATTAGTTGCTTCTGATATGCAGCCTCTGCCTATATCCACACTCTGGCCAGTGCTGACATTTTCTTGAACCTCAGTGGTCCCAGATGTTCCCTGGGGGGAGCATGTTCCCACCTTCTCTGGAATTATTGCAGAGTCAAGGCTGGGTTAACTTAACCTCAGCAAAGTAGTCAGGTGTTCAGATATTTCTTCTAGCCCAGCCCAGCTGTGCAGATGCAGGTGGGTTTCTAGATGGGCAATGTGACTGTCACTGGGAGATTTATGTTTGGAGTTGAAGAAGGTATCATTCAGCCTCTTGAACTAATCAGCTATGAGACTATTTTCCTAAGAAAACAGATACCCCTGAGTTGGAAAGCTCTAGCTTGGGTTCCCAGGGCTGGGACTGAGGCCCTTCTCCAAGACAACTTGTCCAGCCCTTCAGCCAGAGAGGTCCTTGGGTCTTTGTTCTCTACCAAGGACATGGCTGAAGTTGTTTTATCTTTTTTTTAAAAAAAAAACAGGAAAAGATTGGCTGGAGGAATGATGCATCCCACCTGCTGGTGTTTACCACTGATGCCAAGACTCATATAGCACTGGATGGAAGGCTGGCAGGCATTGTCCAGCCCAATGATGGGCAGTGTCATGTTGGCAGTGACAACTATTACTCTGCCTCCACTTCCATGGTGAGATCTCTGATACCACGTAGATTCCCCGTTCCCTATGGCCAGGGCTGCTGAGGTAGAGTCCTTATGTGAATATGAAAATGGCAGCCCATCTTCTGGGCAGGGGGCAGGGCTTGGTTTCAGCCTGCCCCTGCCCCTTGCCAACTAGACACCCTCATCCAGGGTACCGCCTGTACAACATTAGAGATGGCCCTGACTGGTCGGTGTTATGACATGCCCACTGTCACCAGCAGCAGCAGCACAGCATCAATAATGGTCACAGAGGACTTTCACAGGTCCAGCTGGAAAGCAGCCCTTCCCTTCTACTCTGCACTGATTAGCCCCTTCTTGGAATACCATGCTCACTTGTGGTTGTTGGAAGATAGAGGAAAAAGAGACAAAGATCATCAAAAGCATGGATAGCAGGTCCTATGAGGAAAGGTTAAAGGGCTCAGAATAATTAAGCTTGAAGGAAAAAAGGCTAAAGGATGATTTAGCTGGTATATGAGAAGACTTCTTATAAGTTGTTTTACATGGCTGTAGAAGGTTAAACAAGAGGAAAGGAATTTAAATTGAAACAGGAGCCATTGCTGTAAGCCATAAGGGAAGTGTGTTGACGCTCAGATTGCTGATACTCTAGGTATCTGGAAGGAGGTGTGAGCTCTTCATCTCTTAAAGACAATATAGGAACTCCCTGGAATAGGTGGCTTAAAGATACACCTGTGTAAAGGGTGGAGACTGAGCTGGATGATCTCGTAAGCTCACTGCAAGATCTAGGCTCCCATAACATGTTCACAATTCACCACCTCCCCCACTGTCACTTGAGTCCCTTGGTGTCAGCCATATCCAAGTTGATCACTATCAGGCAATGGGCAAAACAGCAACCTTTGACACCTAATCTATGCAAGGCACTGGTCCAGGGGCTGAGGGAGATAAAGAGACTATGTAATGTCCTTTTGTGTTTGTAAGATCCTTAAGTTTTTGGCTTACTTGAGGAGAAAGGAGATATGTGTTTACTAATAATACTAGATGCATGATTAGTGCTAACTGGGCAGTGTAGTCACTAAGGGCTGCGGGTATTCAAACAGGAAAGCCCATCTTGTGCTGGGTGGTCAGGAGTGCCTCCTGGAGGAGGTGGGACTTGAGCTGGGTCCTGAGGAAGGAGGAACATTACCAAAACTAAGGCCACTCCAGGTGAGAGGAAGAGTGGGCCAGATCAGTACTGAGTGCAAGAGGGAGACAGGTGAGTGATGTTTGGAAAGAAAAGCTGAGACTATGCAGTGGAGTCTCATGAGGGCCAGGCCAAGGCATTTTTCAGTATCTCTAAAACAACGAGGTCTAGCCCAGTGCCTGGCCCATGGAAGCTGCACGTGGTATTCGTGCATTGAAACTGAGTAGGAGGAAAGAGCTGCTTAGTTTTGACACCACTGGCTGGCACCTCTTCATTTTCCCTGAAGTTCACAACTAGATTTGTGCGGCTTCTTACCCTTCTCGCCTCACTTTGCCCATGGGTAAAAAAGTTTAAGCACCATCACTGTCTGGGCCACAGACCAAATCAGCCAACTTCAAAGGCTTAGAATCCAGGGACATATGTGAGACTTCATTCACTTCTGTATCTTCCCCTTTTCCAGGATTATCCCTCTCTGGGACTGATGACTGAGAAGCTATCCCAGAAAAATATCAATTTGATATTCGCAGTGACTGAAAATGTAGTCAGTCTCTACCAGGTAACTATCCCTTTGGGGCTTCCGGGAGTGGGCCCTGCGATGTGTGGAACTGGCCCAAGGAGCCAGCCCAGGCTAGCATTGCCCATGGTCCCCAACCAGGAAAGACCCTCCTTCAGCCTACGCCCCAGGAGCTAAAGATTCCTCTCTAGCCTTTCTCCTCCAACCTGAACCCACCAGGAGGGGTGTGTTGATGTTTGCAGTAGTGGAGGGAAGGTAATTCAGTGGGGGAAGGAGTGTAAGAGGTTTCCTACAGTTTTGCTCAGGGCTGAAAAACTGCTAGATGTATTCCTGGCAGTGGCAAGTAAAATACCCATGCCTTCCTAATCCTCATTTTAAGACCCTCAATCTGATTTAGGGAAGGCTTTTGGAGACTACCACTTTCCTTTGATAAGCTCTAGACATCTTTGTCTTCCTTTCTAGAACTACAGTGAACTCATCCCAGGGACCACAGTGGGGGTTCTGTCCACTGATTCCAGCAATGTGCTCCAGCTCATTGTTGATGCTTATGGGGTAAGTGTCTTGTGCTGGGGATGTGCCTGCCGAGAGTCCACCTCACTTAGCTTATGCAGATCAGGTCTGGGAGTCCTGGCTGCCAGTCCACCATGCAGCCACACTGCTTTCCTCTTGTTCTCCAAGATGCCAGGCAATGGCCAGCCTGAGGGTGGGGGTGGGGATGGTGATTAGATGGAGATGAGCAGGACCCTGAAGTTGTGGGAGGCAGAGTGAGGGAGAGCTGGGCTCCATCAGCAGAGGAGAAAGGAGCTGAGCCATGCTGAGGTTGACTAAATATTGGATAGAAAGTGCTCCTACGCAGGGTAACCAGTATTGGCACTCTCCTTTTGCACATTGTTGAGGCCTGCAGGAGAGTGTAGCTGGTTTAGGTTTTACCCAGGCTCACCTACACACTGTGGGGACAGAAAGAGGGAATTTGTTCCTGGGCAGGAGACTGGCTCCTAGAGGTGCTCCAGCAGCTTCAGGCAAACCTCAGCATTTGGCACTGCCAGGGTGAGTCCAGAACCACCTGGTAGATTTTGCTTGGGATGGAATTGGCTCTTGCCCATTTCCTTTCAGCTCATTTCTGTATCCTCTTTTGCCCTTTTCTGCTCAGAAAATCCGCTCTAAAGTAGAGCTGGAAGTACGTGACCTCCCTGAGGAGTTGTCTCTATCCTTCAATGCCACCTGCCTTAACAATGAGGTCATCCCAGGCCTCAAGTCTTGTGTGGGACTGAAGATTGGAGACACGGTAAGGGGGGCTGGGTGGGGGCTGAAGCTGCAGCTCTGACTCTGGCCTGTGCTCCAGAGCATTAGTGGGCACCCCACCCCTGTCCTCCCCTGTGCCTTCTTCCTGAAGCCATTACAAGTTAGATGTGATGGAGCTCCAGCCTTTTCCTCTGAGGCTTCCATTGCCTAAGCCCTCTCTAAGTGGACATCATTATCAGGATTTTAAAATTTTATTTTATTTTTGTTTATGCTGTAATTTAAAATTTTAATAAAATAGATAATTTCAGATTACATAGAGAACAAGTCCATCCACATGTTGATAAAATTTTAGAAATATTTTCTATAAAAAGTTTAGTATTTGATTGGGAATGAATCTATTATAATATGATTTCTACAGGTACAGCCTTCCCATTCTCACCTCCATTCAGTTTTGAGAAATGTTAAAAATACAGAAAAGTACAAAAATAAGACAAGATATCCATATACCACAATTCAGAATTAATCAGTATCTTTCTATATTTACTTACAGTCTTTTCTTTTTAAGAGAAATGGATGTTTATGTAAAAAGCTGAGTCCCGGGCTGATCCTGTGGCTCACTGTGGAGAGTGCGGCACTGGGAGTGCTGAGGCCGCGGGTTCGGATCCTATATAGGGATGGCCGGTGTGCTCTCTGGCTGAGCGTGGTGCGGGCGACACCACGCCAAGGGTTGCGATCCCCTTACTGGTCCCCCCCAAAAAAAAATTTTTTTTTAATTTTTAAAAAGCTGAGTCCCCCTTTTAACCCCCACCCACCTCTCATTCATTCCCTTCCCTTTCCATTCTTCCTAGGTGACCACTATCAAGAGTTTGGCCTGTATCCCTCTGATTCTTTTCAAAAACATTTACATACATACATGTATTCATTGCCCATTAGTACTAAATTTCATGAGCAAATTTTAGTTCAAATTTACAAAAAGATATTGTACTATATGTGTGCTTTTGAGACTTGATTTTTCCCCTTCAATATGGTTTCTCAGGGCCGGCCCGGTGGCGCACTGCTACAGTGCGCCGCTTGGGAGCGCGGTGGTGCTCCCGCCGAGGGTTCGGATCCCACATGCAGACCGGTTCCCGCTCACTGGCTGAGCGAGGTGTGGGAGCAACGCCGAGGGTTGCGATCCCGTTGCCGGTCCCGGTCCGGTCCGGGCGCGACACTGAGGGTTGCGATCCGTTGCCAGACACGAAAAAAGACAAAAAGGAAAAAAAAAAAACCAAAAAAAAACATGGTTTCTCAGATCTTTCTGTTAATACATGTGGATCTCATTTGTTGTATTTTACAGATACATAGCATTCTCTCATAAGACGTTTCCATTTTGTTTCTGATGGGTGTTTATGTTGTTTCTGATTGTTGGCTACTACAAATCAAACTGTACTAAATATCCTGGTACATATTTCCCTAGCATACATACTCATGAGTAGAATTGTTGCAAGGAATGTTTTCCTACTCCCAAGGTCATAACCATTGTATATGGCTTCTTCATATTCCTGTTTCTAATCCCTGTGGATTTTACTTTTGTGTATAGTTCATGGTCTATTTTTTTCACCTTGGAGAACAAATTACCTCCAAATCCTTAAAAAAAAAAAAAAAAGTCTCATTGTTTCCTCCTGGTGCTGCTACTATCATATTCCAAATTCCAGTGGTCTATTTTTTTCACCTTGGAGAACAAATTACCTCCAAATCCTTAAAAAAAAAAAAAAGTCTCATTGTTTCCTCCTGGTGCTGCTACTATCATATTCCAAATTCCAATAAATGTATAAGTCTCTTTCTGAAATCTCTTCTGCTCTGCTGAGTCAATCCCACAAGAGTTTTATATTATTTGGAGATGATCATATCATCAATTTTTGTCTCTTTCTTTCCAATACTTACAACTTATTTTTCTTATTACAATGTGAAGATCTCCAGATCTATGCTGATAGCAACGAGAACAAGCGTCTGTTTTCTGTTCCCAGCTTTAGTGGAAATGTATCTACAGTTTCAGCTTTGCTGTTTGCTTCTGTTCTTTTGTTGGGCACAATCTTTTTATCATATAAATGTCTTTCTCTTCAGCAGGAATTCTCTGATATCCCAACTTTTTTAAAGCATTTGTTAACGTTGACTTTATTTGTGGTCTTTGCTACAGAATGATAATTTCTGACATGCTATGAGGTGTAAATTCTCTGTGAGTTCTCTGGTAAGTCAGTCAAAATTGTGTTTCAGGCTGGCCAGTTAGCTCAGATGTTTAGAGCGCAGCCTTATAACACCAAGGTCATGGATTCAGATCTCTGAACTGGCCAGCCGCCAAAAAACAAAACAGAAAATTGTGTTTCAAACTCAAAACTTCAAAATGGTGTTGCCTTAAAAACATATAAGGTCTGAGATCAGAAGGAGTGTACTTCCCGTTTTCTTATATTCACTGCTTTTGTCCTTAGTCTGTGCTTTATTGGAGATGGATGCAACTTGCCTCCCAAGTCTTGCTGACTCTCTGTCTGCTCATCATATTCTCAGTCTTCTTCTGGACAGACTTCCTTTCCACTTCTTTCACTACCATCTTGCTTCAATGGAGAATCACGTGAAGTCTAGTCACTTAACAACCTGCTACTGGGGAAATGACACAGTACTGCAATGTGGATGCTGGGGCTAAAGTGCCACCCTAGAACTCAGGCTGAGCCTGGGGCCTCAGGGCCTTCTGAAGGATGAGGCAGGTGCAGTCTCCAAGGACGCACAAGGGAGCAGCCCCACTGGGCAGTTCCACTGCGTAGCAATCTACTTTAGAGATACTCCTTCTATTACCAGTAATATCACTTTTCTGGCCTTGGACTACATTTCCCTCAAGGCTTTGCTGGTCAACTTTCTCTCTCTCTGTCTCTCTCTCTCTATCTGTCTCCCCAACACGAATGTGGCTGCCTCCTCCTGTGATTATAGGGCTGTTGTGAGTAGGCCTTCTTTGGAGTCAAATGAGTCGAGCCTGCTGGGAGGTTTGAAGTGGGGACTCCCTTTGAAGCCTCCCAAACACAGTGTCAAAATGAGCTGAGCCCAGACTCAGAGGTAGGAGGACAACATCTTGTTTGTGGCTGGTGTGGCTCTAGACTACCTATCGGGATGTTTTTTAGAACTTGCATTTTGGTTATCTCTGTTTGTGTTTACACAGTTGATTTGCAAATGAAAATATTTCTTGCCTTCAGCCCCTAACCAGTCTCCAGCCTCCCCAAGATAATGCCTTTCTTTTCTCCACAATGTAAAATGGCAGCATCATCTATAAATACCTGTAGAGCCCTGACTATGTGCTGGACATTGAGGTAGCTGCTGAAGATTCAACAGCAAATGGAACAGGCAAAAATACCTTACCTCATGGAATTTAAGAATGCAAATGTTCATTTTGCCCCTCCTGTCCTCTGTGGCTTTCCTTATTAGTTGGTTTTCCTGTGCTTCTGCCTAAGGGGAGAGGGGTTGGTGGAGATGGAGGAAGGAAAGGAGGGAAATAGATCTTTTGATCCATCAGTCTTTCTATTGATTTATCTATCAATGTATTGATCTGCCCATCTTCTAGGCACATGTGCACACACCCCATGTAAAAGGGGTTGGTGGAGATGGAGGAAGGAAAGGAGGGAAATAGATCTTTTGATCCATCAGTCTTTCTATTCATTTATCTATCAATGTATTGATCTGCCCATCTTCTAGGCACATGTGCACACACCCCATGTAAGAAATCTTCGCCTGTGATGAAATGTTATGTGGAAATTGAACAGTGAATACTGAGTTTATTGTTGACCACCATGTGGCATTATGTGGTACAAAATAGTGCTTTGTGTGTCTTGCTGATATTATTTTTTTGTCCATCTGGAATTTAACAAAAATTTTTTTAATGAAATATATTGATTGTACATATTTGTGGGGTACACAGTTATATTTCAATACATGTATACTACGTATGTTGATCTATTCAGGGAAATTAGCCTATTCATCTTTGCAAAACTTAATCGTTTCCTTATGATGTGCACATTTGATCTCCTCTCTTACTGATATTATATAATCAGTCCAGCTAGCTTAGGTGGCCAGAGCAGTGTTCCCAAGTTCACAGGTTCTGTTCTGCTTGAGCTGGTTTATCTCACCTGTGGAATAAAAACAGCTTTCTATTTCTTGACTGTAAATGATGTCTCTGCTTCCAGCTAGATATATCACAGTGGCACAACCATCCTCTTGTTTTTGCTTTGCAGACCTTGATAAATGGGAAGACAGGGGAACTCCAGATTCTGGGAGGACAAAACACCCAACTGGGTATTCCTTGGCAGGCAGGGAACACCTTCTTTTCCTCCAGGGCTGGAGTGTTAACTGGGGCCACCTGTGTCTGAATGCATCTTGCTTTCCATCCAGGTGAGCTTCAGTATCGAGGCCAAGGTGCGTGGCTGTCCCCAGGAGAAGGAAAAGTCCTTCACCATCAAGCCTGTGGGCTTCAAGGACAGCCTCACTGTCCAGGTCACCTTTGACTGTGACTGTGCCTGCCAGGCCCAGGCTGAGCCTCACAGCCGACGCTGCAACAATGGCAATGGGACCTTCGAGTGTGGGGTGTGTCGCTGTGGGCCTGGCTGGCTGGGGTCCCAGTGCGAGTGCTCAGAGGAGGACTACCGCCCCTCCCAGCAGGATGAGTGCAGCCCCCGGGAGGGCCAGCCCATCTGCAGCCAGCGGGGTGAATGCCTCTGTGGCCAGTGTGTCTGCCACAGCAGTGACTTTGGCAAGATCACGGGCAAGTACTGTGAGTGTGATGACTTCTCCTGTGTCCGCTACAAGGGGGAGATGTGCTCAGGTGAGTAGAACTAAATGCCTCTCCCATCCTGGTACCCACACATACACACCTGTAGCCCTGGAAACATAGGAGAGGGCTTGAGGTGGGCAAAGGTGGGCAGAGCTGAGTAGATGGTGTTCCACTCTAGTGGCAGAAAAATGGAAATGAAGTTCTCCTTAATTTCATTCAGTTCCTTGCTCATGGGGTACAAGGAAGCTAAAATGAGCCTCTGCTTCCAGAGGCTTCTCTCCCTCTTAGAATAGGGTGGGAATGAGTGGGGAAACTTCCAGATCAAGATAGTTTTTTTATTCTTTTATTTGTCCACTCGGCTTATATATATATATATATTTTTTTTTTTTTTCTTTCTTTCTTTCTGCTAATGTCTTAAGTCAGTGGTTCCTAATCTTTTTGAGTATGAGGACTAATCCCTTTTTTAGGTTAAAAAAAAAATCACCCACTGATGATAATTAAATTTTTAGTATTTGTAGACTTACAAAATATATAATTCAGAATATGTAGTAACGTTAGTAATTTTACATGAACTTATCTTTTTATCACAAGAGATTTGGATGTAGTATACATGCAAGATATTAGAACTTAAAAAAAAAAAAGACTGGTAAGGGGATCTTAACCCTTGACTTGGTGTTGTCAACACCACGCTCTCCCAAGTGAGCCACAGGCAGGCCCTAAGACATTAGAATATTTAATGGGCTAATAGACTTAGAACAATGTCTGGAAAATGACATGCTCTTGTTAAATGTTAGCACCATTTTATTATCGTTATTATCATTGGTACTACTATTACTTTTTGGATTTTAGATCTGTGCTGTCCAATATGCCACTAGCCACATGTCGCTACTTAAATTATTAAAATAAAATTTAAACTGTACTTCCTCAGTCGATTAGTAGCCACATGTGGCTAATGGCTACCATATTGGACTGCACAGATTTAGAACATTTTAACATGGCAGAAAGTTCTCTTGGGTAGCAGTGCCAGGGAGTCACTGACTACAGACTGGAGTTACGATTTTGAGTACATCTGCCTGCAGGATGCTGAGCTGCTATTCTCATTATGAAATTCAGTAAAATCCTGAGGCCCACTGATAATCTCAAACTGGTTCTCCACTTCTGGGGTACTTCCCCAGCGAGAAGTTGTTGAAATAATGTTAATGTAGTCTTTATCTGCAAACATGCTAACATCACTCTCAGAGGTTAAGTAGGAAGTCTGAGTTCCTGGTGACTGTGGATAGGTTTTTGCTAGGCCATAATCACAAACAAACTGCAGAATTTTCAAGTTGGTTGGGACTGGGTTATGAGTGTATTGTGTGGCCCGTTGAACAAAGAGATTATAATTGTTTTCTGTGGTGATCCCATGTCCCAGACTGGCTTCATTGCATTGGGGTTCCAACCAGCTGAGCTCATCCACAGATGTTCACTTTAACACTAACATCAGCCTTTAAAAAAGCTTGATTAGAAAGGCAAAACTATGTCATTCTAAAGCATACCCATGTAACATAAAAATGACTTTTAAAAAAAATTCTGTTTCCTTTACTCATGCTAACAAAATTGAGGGAGAGTTTGTTTGAAAGAAAGCAATAGAGGGATTAGGGGAGAGAGAGATCCAGTACACAGATGAACACATGCAAACAACAGCAGTTTGAGTTAGGGAGGCAGGAATTTCAGTTCATTTTAATGTTTAATAATGTTTACATCATATTCAAAGTACCAAAGAAAATGGGTAAGTTTGAAGCAGGAGACTGATGGGGAGAAGGTTGGGACTGAAGGGGAGAGGGTTGACCTAGGAGAGGCCCACAGATGGCCTGCCAGGGTACCCCCATGACTCCTGCCTGGCCTGGTTGTTCTGGGGTGAGCACTGTGGATCCCAGCCAGAGTGTGTTTCCTCTGGCTGCCAGCCCCACTGAAGCCACAGAACAAAGCTGCCTGGGTCAGCAACCCCAGTTCCTGCCTCCACCAGTGCAAGAACAGCTCGTCCTCAGTGTGCTCCAGTCTAGCCCATAAGGGAACCCTAGGCAGCCGCTGCAGCTCCCTTCACCACTTCTTGCCAGGGGGTTGGTGCCCAACGGCTTCAGGTCTGGACCCTGTAGTGCCATCATCACATTTTCCAGTAACAGGTACTCAAGGGCACACATTCTCTGTACCAGCATTCAGTCCATCTGGGTGAACAAGGGGTCACACGTGATCTCTGACCTCTCAGAGCTTATAGCCCAGCTCCTCATTGTATCTCCCCAGAGCTGCTGGCCCTGTGGTCTCTTCTTTGCCACCAGCAGGGCCTCATGAGGCAGGAGTGCTGTGACTTGGCCATTGCCCTACCTCCTGGCCTTGAAGCACGGCAGCTGGTTCCCTGGCCATCGCCCTGTCCTCCCCCTACTGGAGGCATGGTCTTCATGGTTGCCCATTATCAGCACCCCTGCCTTAAACATCAGGGAGGGCATACTTGTCCTCAAAGGAATTTTCCACCTGCTACGTCCACGAACACAGATCAATCAGGCACCCTCAGTTATCTTGTTCTGTGCTGTCATGGAATAGGGTAGAGGCATCAGTTTTGCCCTTCATTAACTCACCTAAGGATAATTCACAACATGAGGCAGAGTCTGCCAGATCCCAGAAATGAGGTGTCCTTGGGGAGTGTTATAGGAGTCCACTGGAAAGAGGCTCTTTGTGCACAGAGGATGCTTGGGCAGCTTCGTAGAGGAGGTGGGATGTCTGATAAAGGAGAGAATTGGAGTGATGCATCAGCTCCAAAGGTCTAACTATATAGAGAGAATGATCACAGTCCCTCTGACCTGAAATGCCTGTTCCCCTCCTTTCCTCCCCCCTCCTCCTCCTCTTTCTCCTACCCTTCCTCCTTTTTTCCTCTTCATTTCTCGCCCCCTTCCCCTCACTTCCCTATGAACCCATGCTCAGCCTCCCTTTTGCTGAAGGGGCACCAGTCCTGTGACATTACCACACTGTGGCTTCCTTTTAAGGGCTGACCCTGCCAGGGCTTGGGGTCAGCCTGTTGGCTCTGGCCTACCACTTCTACTCCCAACCTTATTCCCCGGCTGGCCCGGCAGACCATCTTGTCAAAGATCACTTTGTTAAGCCTCACAAAGGAAACACTATGGGACAGGGTTTCTGAGGAAGTGGAGGCCTCTGGGTGCTGCCAGGTCTCTGTGGTGTCAGTCTTTCCCCATCCAGGAGCCATAACCAAAAAGCAAGGCACAGTGGACACTGTGGGGCCCTGCTCTTCTGGCTGGCAAGCCCAGCCCCCACCTCCTGTGAGAGCAGGCTGATAATAGCTCACAGCTGCCCCTTCTCTGGAGCATTGCCCCCAGATGTTGGCCGATGACTGATGGACAAGGGGTTACACAAGGCCAGTCTCTTTGCCTGAGATGTGGTGCCATTCATGCTCTGAAACCCACCCTGGGATCAGGATGAAGGCACAGTGTCTGTCCGAGACCACATTCCTGCCAGCTCTTGACTCCTGTCCTATGCTGTTTCCCTCTCTCCCCTCCACTTCCCCAGTAAGTCATTTGAAGAAGAATCCTCCCCACAAGCTGTACTTCTAGAAAATCCAACCACAAGACACAAAGTCTTTCTGCCTTCCCCACCCTTCTGCCAGCCCAACATCCCTACTCTCCAGATATACTTGGTAGCTGGGACAGGTGGGGTTATGTTCCTCAATCCTTCCCAGGAAACAAGCATTTCCCAAGGTGGCAAAGGTGTCTCTGAGTCTTGAATGCCAGTGTGGTTACTTATTAGAGTATGGTGCTGAGGCCACCAACAGAGGGTCCTTTAGTGGCCAAGAGAGACACTGGTCAGACCCACTGGGGACACTAGGCAGCAGTAGGTGCTGGCTGGTTGCTATTTGAGCCTGGCCATGTACCACTCTCTCCGCTACCTACTTAGAATCCATCTGCTCACACAGTGACATGGTTTCCAGTCCCACTCAGGTTACTGCCTTTTTGCCCTGTTTTTCCTCTAATTAACAATCAGATTTTTATTGTTCATCTACTTCTTCCTGATTCAGAGTCCTGGGGAGTGAGTCACCTTTCTGTAGGGTTTATGAACCAACTTTTAAAACCTTTTAAAATGAATATTAGCGGGATATGGCATTGTGAGTTAATGCCAGCCTTTAAAAGCAGTCTGACCCCCACCCAGTCTCCAACCCATTTCTACACTCATGTGGTAATGTGAATAGGCTTTCCCACTAGGGCTTATGGCTCTTTGCAACACTACAGTAATACAACCCAAGGCACATGTTGTGAATGTGCTGGTGTTTACCAGGAAGTTAACAGGGTTGCAGCTCCATGATAGTAGGGACCTTGTCTGTCTTGTTCATTGTTGAATCCCCATTGCCTAGCATGTGGTATGAGCTCAAAAAATATTTGCTGAATGAAGGGATAAGTGAACAAACATTAATTGTAACAGATTTCATGCTAATCACTATTAATGGAAGAATTAGTTTAACATGTTCTCTGGGCTGCCATAATGGAGCTCACAATCTAGAAAGGGAAAACAGGCAAACAAACGGCCATAAAACAAGGGTAGAAACAGAGGTAGATATAAAGTGCTAGGAGAACACAGGAGCAGACAGTTGATTCTGCCAGGGGAGGTCAGAAAAAGTTACAGAGAGGATGGAACATTTGAATTGGGCCTTAAGGAGTAAGTAGGAGTTCGGTAGTGATCACAGGACAAAAGGGAACAGCATGAACAGAAACATGAGCATACAAGGATAGTGCAGAAGACAATGAATAGTTCAGTGTGGTGGACAGCGTGTGGTGACGTGAGCTGGGTGACAAGATGTGAAGCTGGAAGCAGGCTGAGCCCATCGTTGAATGTTTGCTAAAGACTTTGGATTTGATCCTTTACGCAGTATGGAGTCAACTGGGAGGAAGGAGCTATTTTGTCTCCCAGGGGATATTTGGCAGTGTCTGGTGAAATTTCTAATTGTCACAACTGGAAAGGTGGGTAGGTATCAAGTGGGTAGAGTCCAAGGAGGCTGCTGAACATTCCACAATGTACAGGACAGCCCCTCACAACAAAGAATTATCTGCCTTAAAATATCAAAAAGTACCAAGTTTGAGAAATCATGCTTTAGAAAGAGAATCCTGGCCAGAGAGGAAGGGTGGACCAAATAGAGGATATCCTGGAGAAGGGGAGATGACCTAATTGTCTGAAGACAGGACCAGGGTTGGGGCAGGGGGTGTAAACATCTGCATTGAGGCCCAGAAACTCACTTTCTGTCCCATCTGCTTGAATACAGTAATTCAGTACATTTGAATTCCTAAATTTCTCTCCTCAAACATTTTCACTGGGATCAAGCCTAATTACTGGACTTTCCATGATTCCCTCCTTCCTACTTTAGCTCTCTTCTTCCTCCATTGGTCAAATTGAACAATATTTCATTAAAACTGGCTCCATCTTATACTGGTGATAGAATCACCTACTGGCCATTTTTTCTGTAAGTTACAGGAGTCTTCTGGAAAGACCGTACTAATATAAATAGAGAAGAGCATTGCTTACAATACTGCATAGAGGTTAAGCAATTGGGATCTGAAGTCAGAGTGACTTCAGTTTGACCTCCAACCCTGCCATTTATAAGCTGTGTGGCCTTGGGCAAGTTACTTCACTTCTCTGACCGCACAGGGTTGTTATAAGAAATGAATAGGGGCCAACCCCGTGGCTCACTCGGGAGAGTGTGGCGCTGGGAGCGCCAAGGCCACGGGTTCGGATCCTATATAAGGATGGCCGGTGCGCTCACTGGCTGAGCGCAGTGTGGGTGACACCAAGCCAAGGGTTACGATCCCTACCGGTCACCAAAAAAAAAAGAAATGAATAGGATCACATACTAAAAAACTTGGCACATATTAAATGCTCAAATGTTTGTGGCCATTATCATTGTTGTGGTTATTGTTGGCACCTCCTTCCACTGGGAATGTTTATTTACCTCCTTGGTTGGCTTGGAAAATAGATACAGTTCTCTTCCCTAAAAGCTTTCCAAGCCTGCTTCACTACACTCCCAGGGCTACATATGATGTCCTGAGGTCAGATTGAGAAGAGAACTAGGACAAAAAAGACAGATTGTGTTGGTGAAGCCAGAGACAGTTCAAATGAGTCTGCATCTTAAAAAAAAAATTAATTTATTTTTAAATGTTTAATTGTGGTAAATGTCTCTGTAGCTTTTGAGTGCAGAGGCAGGAACAAGCATGAACCAACAGAGACTCAGGGGAGGCTGCTGGGCTACATGAGGGGATTGCTAGCGATTGTCTCTACTGCTGTTCACCTTAGGAAAATCTCTCTTCTTTCTTTCATTTTGCTTCTCCTATTTATTTTTTTGGCAGTACAGGGATCTGAGCCCTTGACCTGGGTGTTGTAACACTACGCTCTAACCAACTGAGCTACCCAGCCAGCCCTGCTTCTCTTATTTTCCGACTTCTTCTCTCTATGACATTTATGGGGTTTATTGAACAGCACTGGTCCCTGGCAAACTGCGAGGTAGGCCGCGTTTGTTCTCCGTGCTTACTTGGCTTCACTGACCAACTCCATGGGCTCTCAGTGCCCTCCCTGCCCCTTGGAGGCCCCACCCCATCTGCCCATGCACTCAGGGTACCCTGTGTGCACCTTCTCTTCTCAGGCATTTGGCATAACCCTGTGCTCTGGATCTCGTCTTTCCTCTGTTCTCCTTGCATTGCAGTTTTCCTGTCCTGTGTCCACTCCCGCAGAGCCCTGCTGCTCACCTTGAGAGGTGATACCTACCTGATTTGAGAAATGGAATAATGGACAGTGGTGGCTGGTTTGTTAGTGGAAGGGGGCCAGCTTGTCCAAACTGGAGCCTATGTTGTTGTCTAACATAACTGGGTGGGTAATGACAATGTCAGTAATGGTGGGCCTCAGGTCAGGTAGGAGAGGAGAGCAGCCCTGTGTCAGGTCATAGGGACTTTTGGGGCCTGAGGGGCCTTTTGCCAACATCAGGTCATAATATTAAGGCCACTGAGTGCCCTGTATGGGCTTGGGAGCCCTTAGTGCTATGTGAGCCCTCGGGACTCAAGAGCTTGCTTGTAGTCTTCAGACTAGAAGCTGGCAGAGAAGGCAGAGGGCTCCAAAGTAGGGCAAACGGAAGGGTGGGAGGCCTGGGAGACTTAGCTCCTGAGACTCCATTGCTCTGCAGTGACTCAGACCAAGTTCTGCCATACCTTGTGACACCTAGAGAGCTGAGTTTATCCTACTGGGTACGGCTCCCCCGGTAGTGAGACAGTTCCCTTCTAACTTGGGGGATCATTTTCTGTCTGGTGGGAGGAGCAGGGTGACTTTTTGTAGCCTGCTGTTGTGGGGGTAGGGACCCTCACCAGCTGGTCCACACTCTTGGGCTTTATGCTTTCAGGCCACGGCCAGTGCAGCTGTGGGGACTGCCTGTGTGACTCCGACTGGACTGGCTACTACTGCAATTGTACCACGCGCACTGACACCTGCATGTCCAGCAACGGGCTGCTGTGCAGTGGCCGGGGCAAGTGCGAATGTGGCAGCTGTATCTGCATCCAGCCGGGTTCCTATGGGGACACCTGTGAGAAGTGTCCCACTTGCCCGGATGCCTGCACCTTTAAGAAGTGAGTGGGCAGTTTGGAGAGAGTTGGGAGGCTGGGAGGTGGAAGAGGGTTTCATAGACTACAATCCCCAATTCTCCAGGTTCTGCCTCTTACACAACAAAGCTTTGGGAGACAAGTCTGCTCCAGCCAAATGGCTAGCCCTGNTGTTGTAACACTACGCTCTAACCAACTGAGCTACCCAGCCAGCCCTGCTTCTCTTATTTTCCGACTTCTTCTCTCTATGACATTTATGGGGTTTATTGAACAGCACTGGTCCCTGGCAAACTGCGAGGTAGGCCGCGTTTGTTCTCCGTGCTTACTTGGCTTCACTGACCAACTCCATGGGCTCTCAGTGCCCTCCCTGCCCCTTGGAGGCCCCACCCCATCTGCCCATGCACTCAGGGTACCCTGTGGGCACCTTCTCTTCTCAGGCATTTGGCATAACCCTGTGCTCTGGATCTCGTCTTTCCTCTGTTCTCCTTGCATTGCAGTTTTCCTGTCCTGTGTCCACTCCCGCAGAGCCCTGCTGCTCACCTTGAGAGGTGATACCTACCTGATTTGAGAAATGGAATAATGGACAGTGGTGGCTGGTTTGTTAGTAGAAGGGGGCCAGCTTGTCCAAACTGGAGCCTATGTTGTTGTCTAACATAACTGGGTGGGTAATGACAATGTCAGTAATGGTGGGCCTAGAGGTGATACCTACCTGATTTGAGAAATGGAATAATGGACAGTGGTGGCTGGTTTGTTAGTGGAAGGGGGCCAGCTTGTCCAAACTGGAGCCTATGTTGTTGTCTAACATAACTGGGTGGGTAATGACAATGTCAGTAATGGTGGGCCTCAGGTCAGGTAGGAGAGGAGAGCAGCCCTGTGTCAGGTCATAGGGACTTTTGGGGCCTGAGGGGCCTTTTGCCAACATCAGGTCATAATATTAAGGCCACTGAGTGCCCTGTATGGGCTTGGGAGCCCTTAGTGCTATGTGAGCCCTCGGGACTCAAGAGCTTGCTTGTAGTCTTCAGACTAGAAGCTGGCAGAGAAGGCAGAGGGCTCCAAAGTAGGGCAAACGGAAGGGTGGGAGGCCTGGGAGACTTAGCTCCTGAGACTCCATTGCTCTGCAGTGACTCAGACCAAGTTCTGCCATACCTTGTGACACCTAGAGAGCTGAGTTTATCCTACTGGGTACGGCTCCCCCGGTAGTGAGACAGTTCCCTTCTAACTTGGGGGATCATTTTCTGTCTGGTGGGAGGAGCAGGGTGACTTTTTGTAGCCTGCTGTTGTGGGGGTAGGGACCCTCACCAGCTGGTCCACACTCTTGGGCTTTATGCTTTCAGGCCACGGCCAGTGCAGCTGTGGGGACTGCCTGTGTGACTCCGACTGGACTGGCTACTACTGCAATTGTACCACGCGCACTGACACCTGCATGTCCAGCAACGGGCTGCTGTGCAGTGGCCGGGGCAAGTGCGAATGTGGCAGCTGTATCTGCATCCAGCCGGGTTCCTATGGGGACACCTGTGAGAAGTGTCCCACTTGCCCGGATGCCTGCACCTTTAAGAAGTGAGTGGGCAGTTTGGAGAGAGTTGGGAGGCTGGGAGGTGGAAGAGGGTTTCATAGACTACAATCCCCAATTCTCCAGGTTCTGCCTCTTACACAACAAAGCTTTGGGAGACGAGTCTGCTCCAGCCAAATGGCTAGCCCTGCTCTGTCCAATGAAAGCTTTGGGGATGTTGGAGGTAGAGGCAACTGTGAAGGGGCCAGAGTAGTACCAGCTGAACTCCAGTTTTAGAAACCCTTCTCCTAGGGTGGCATCCAGAATCCTTCTGAGCTGGGATGAAGGCTAAACCAGATAACTTCTGGAGAATATTCCAGTGCTGATGTTCTGATTCTGGGGAAGATGTGGGGGCTAGAGTTACAGAGGACACTGTGTGAAACGGCATTTTGCCCTCACAAACCTCACCCATTCAGGGGTCAGAGGAAGCTCTGGTCAGCCCAAGTCTAAGCAGGGCCGGACTCATGGCCGTGCAACCTGTGCAGCTGTGCAGGGCCCAGTGATTAGAAGGGCTTCGTGCTTGGTTTAATGTCACTGTCTTGAAATTCTTAGCAAGGTTTGAACAAGGGACCTGATATTTTCATTTTGCACTGGGTCCCCAAATTATGTGACCAGTTCTGACTTTAAGGGTTCCGTACGTGGTGTAGGGTTCACCCTCCTGTCACAGCCCTGGGTGGGATATGAAGAAATTTAATGAAAGAACTGGGGGTGTCTGGCTGCCAGGTCCTGCCTGTGGGTGAGGATGGCACTCCTGCCCCTGAACTCCACACTTATCTAGGTGCCCCCCCAGGATTGTCTTACAGATTTTTTTTTTTTCTAACTAAGGTAGAGCTGCTTTCTGGGTGCGTGGAGGTCGGAGCTGGACTGGGACACACTTAGGCTCGTTCTTCCCGCTGCTGTGCAGTGGCCGGGGCAAGTGCGAATGTGGCAGCTGTATCTGCATCCAGCCGGGTTCCTATGGGGACACCTGTGAGAAGTGTCCCACTTGCCCGGATGCCTGCACCTTTAAGAAGTGAGTGGGCAGTTTGGAGAGAGTTGGGAGGCTGGGAGGTGGAAGAGGGTTTCATAGACTACAATCCCCAATTCTCCAGGTTCTGCCTCTTACACAACAAAGCTTTGGGAGACGAGTCTGCTCCAGCCAAATGGCTAGCCCTGCTCTGTCCAATGAAAGCTTTGGGGATGTTGGAGGTAGAGGCAACTGTGAAGGGGCCAGAGTAGTACCAGCTGAACTCCAGTTTTAGAAACCCTTCTCCTAGGGTGGCATCCAGAATCCTTCTGAGCTGGGATGAAGGCTAAACCAGATAACTTCTGGAGAATATTCCAGTGCTGATGTTCTGATTCTGGGGAAGATGTGGGGGCTAGAGTTACAGAGGACACTGTGTGAAACAGGGCATTTTGCCCTTACAAACCTCACCCATTCAGGGGTCAGAGGAAGCCCCGGTCAGCCCAAGTCTAAGCAGGGCCGGACTCATGGCCGTGCAACCTGTGCAGCTGTGCAGGGCCCAGTGATTAGAAGGGCTTCGTGCTTGGTTTAATGTCACTGTCTTGAAATTCTTAGCAAGGTTTGAACAAGGGACCTGATATTTTCATTTTGCACTGGGTCCCCAAATTATGTGACCAGTTCTGACTTTAAGGGTTCCGTACGTGGTGTAGGGTTCACCCTCCTGTCACAGCCCTGGGTGGGATATGAAGAAATTTAATGAAAGAACTGGGGGTGTCTGGCTGCCAGGTCCTGCCTGTGGGTGAGGATGGCACTCCTGCCCCTGAACTCCACACTTATCTAGGTGCCCCCCCAGGATTGTCTTACAGATTTTTTTTTTTTTCTAACTAAGGTGGAGCTGCTTTCTGGGTGCGTGGAGGTCGGAGCTGGACTGGGACACACTTAGGCTCGTTCTTCCCCTGCCTTAATTGCTGTGTCCTGTCTCCTTTAGGGAATGTGTGGAGTGTAAGAAGTTTGACCGGGGAGTCCTACACGAGGAAAACACCTGCAGCCGTTACTGCCGGGATGAGATTGAGTCAGTGAATGAGCTTAGTAAGTTCAGCATGCCTTAGAGTCCCACACATCAGGGTTACAAATGTCTCTGGTTCAGTTCCAGAGCCTGTCCACCTCCCATCTGTAAAATGGAAGAGTAATTTCTACCTCAAGGAATGTTTCGCGGGCCTGATGCACGACAGGCACTAGATGAAAGCTGGTACCCGAGAGTCCTCTTGCACCTCTACTAATGTGTTCAGCAGTCCTTTCCCCTTCTCCTTCCCAGAGCCCACAGACTCAGCAAGAGCCTGCAAGTAACTTTGTGGGTTTTTTGGCAGCTGGCCAGTATAGGGATTCAAACCTTTGGCCTTGACAATAATTTTTAAAGGGTGTATAAATTAGGCAAACCTAACTTTACCTCCCCAAGAAAAGGAAGGTAACATACCCCGTTTTACGGATAAAGAAACTGTGAGGCATAGAGCTGGGAAGTGGTTGCCCATGGTAGTCATATCTTAGGTTGGTAGGCTAGTAAACATTTGCCAAGTTTCCTTACGTAAGAGTGTTAAGCAATGCCCAAGCTTTTGCTTAAAGCTTTGCTGGTTTGGAGGGAAACCTTCACCCTTATGGATTTGGAACCAAAATCTTTATACTGAAGCCCTTCTGGCTCTCTGTAGCCCCTCCTGAAATAAGACAGATAGAAATACAAACAGTGGGGAGCAGAACTCTTGCCTGCAATTATTCTGGTCTGTACTTCATCTTGACTTTAAAGGAAATAGTCTTTGTTGCTGTTGGCACATCTGCTATGGTTATCTGTGCCAGTGAGGCACTGGATGGTGCCAAAAAGATGGCAGTCTCTCTGAAGATAGCAATCTCCCGTGACAGCAGGAAACACATTTTCAATGAGATCCACAGTAAGACACAACCAGTCAGTCAGCTTCTGGGTGAGGGTGTAATGTAAAAGAGTCAGATTTCTGGACCTTTTGGCTAATATTGGAAGTTGGGCTGGGGTGAGGTTGGTGATTTGGGGATTGAGTTTGAAGAGGCAATATTTTCCTCTGGAGGAGACGAGGTGTTAGTCTGTTTCTGTTGCTTGTTAACAGAATACATGAAACCAGGCAATTTATAGAGAATCAAAATTTATTTCTTAGAGTTTGGAGGGTAGGAAGTGCAAAGTCCAGGGAACACATCTGGTGAGGGCCTTTTTCTTGGTGGTGGCTCTCTACAACAATGCAGGGTATCACAAGGTGAGAATGGGCTGGGCAAGAGAGAGGTTTAAAGCCATCAGAACCAATCCACTCACAAGTCCATAATCCTCACAATCTAATCACCTCTTAAAGGCTTCACCTTTCAAATACCATAATAGGATTTCCTACTCTCTTAACACTTTAACAATGGGGGTCTTACTGTAATAGGATTTCCCATCCTCTTAACACTCTCAACAAAGGGGGTTTCCAATACATGAACTTTTTAGACACATTTAAACCATAGCACTAGGCTTTTGCTATGATTAGCTCAGAGGGGAGAGGATACTGAGATGTTGTGATATTTTTATCATCTAGACCAGGTAGGTATTACAGATTAATTGATAAATATTTTTCTACCCCCCCTTTACTACCATAATAGTTATAAAAATAAATGCTTATTTGTATGGAATGTTTTAATTTATGAAAGTTATAAAAATATCTTTTGTATATATTATCTTATTCTTCTCCCAACAACGTACGGAAGTGGAACTATAGTACTATAGTTATCTTCATTTTGTGGGTGAGGGAATTGAGTCCCAGGAAAGTTAAATAACTGGCCCAAGGCAGGAGTGGTGAGTTAAGATGAGAACCTAATCCTGAAATCCCTTCTTTTTCCCGTGCTGTAATACCACTGGTTTACTGAAGGTTTGTTGTGCTCATGTCTGTAGGATGTGTTTGAGACTCCTGTTCTAGTCCTGGTCCCTCACTTATTTGCTGTGTGATTTTGTTCTGGTCGCTTAATCTCATCGTGTGTCAGTTTTACCCATCTGGTTTTATCAGTGTAGGGCATAGTGCAGCTGGTAGAGGGTAACCCGTAGTGTCATTGGCAGAATAATGGGCTTTAGAATTAGAAAGGATAAAGCCTAAAACATGTGGGAGTCAGGTAGGAGAGGATGGCTCTGGGAGGCACACCAGATCAGAAACAGAAATAGAAGAAATACATAAGCTGTGCAAGTAACCTACTGAAAATCATTGAGCAAGTAGAGAAAGGAAGGAGAAGGAAGGGAACACATACGGTATGTTAGATACTGTTTACTTTATGCTGTTTAAGTCTCCACCAATTCTGTGAGGTGAGGGTATTGTTTTCCTTTTATAGATAAAGAGAAACTTGATGAGGTAAAGTAATTTACCCAAGATCACACAGCTGGTAGGTGGTGGAGCCAGGCTTTGAATTAGATTGTATAATATTGTTATATCATGTCCCTTCCAGAGGAAGGAATAAGAACCAAAAAGGGCCAGTGAGGGATAAAATATATCAGTGAGGGTCAGTGGGTGGCAACTGCCAGGCATGACAGTCATATTGAATCTAGGCATCTTGCCTAATGTCAGGCACAAATTTCTTATAACATACTTTTCCAACACTGTGAGAGGCATTTGGGGTGGCCTCATCTTCCAAGGAATTGACCCATTTTTCTTTCCTCCACCTCCTGCTCTCCCCCAGAGGACACTGGCAAGGATGCAGTGAATTGTACCTACAAGAATGAGGATGACTGTGTCGTCAGATTCCAGTACTATGAAGACTCCAGTGGAAAGTCCATCCTGTATGTGGTAGAAGAGCCAGGTGAGTAAGCCCCAAGGCTCCCCTCTCCTCACCAGGGAGAGGGAGAACCGTGTTAGGCAGGAATTTGGTATGCAATATTTTATATATACTTACACTAAAAAGTAATTTTTTTGTTTATCTGAAATTCATATTTATCTGGGCTTCCTATACTTTTGTTGCTAAATCTGCCAACCCAACCCAGACTTCCCTGACCTTGGGTCACTCACCATGGGTCCACTGCTGTGGCAGGCAGGGCTGATCTTGACTTCTGCTTCCATGAAGCCACTCGCCCCTTTCAGGACAGCTGGGTAAGATTGTTTCTCCCTGAAGACATCCTGGCAGTCTACCTATCCTGCCCATACAGACGTGCAGAATTGAACAGACTTCACTTTGTGGTTTGAGGGTCAGCCCTCCCCCACTCTTCCAGAGAATTCACAATTGCTTTTCCCAGAATGTCTGGGAACTTGGACACTGGGATCTCACAGCCTCTCTCCAGGCACTCCTTTAATTACAGACAGGTTGTTACTTAGCGGTTTGGGAAATAGCCAGCTTGGATTTGTGGTGGTGGCTGTTTTTGTGTAGTGTGTGGTGAGCATACGGTGTATGTTTAGAGAGGAAGGCAGGAGACAGTGTGGAAAGTGGGTGTGACTTCCTCTCCAGACTCATCAGTATCCATATATACAAACACCTAGTTTCATAACACTTGAGGTTACTGGAGTGAGGTCACTTGTCAGACATCTGAGGTTTATGGGAAGCAGAGCTCTACAGAGTATACTCAGCTTCACCCTCAGAGGGGTGACGTATCTCTGTTGGTTGTTGACTGGGGTTGAACAGGAAGTCAGCTTTCAATAGGGTTATGATTTTAGATGACTAAATATTTTGGGAAAGAACCCAAAATATTGTCTTGGCTGGCAGGCCTCCTAGTCTCTAAGGATGTCAAGAAGGTCATTAGGTTCACAGCCCTCAGGAATGTAAATACCTGAGCCAGGATAATAGACACAAATGCCTACAGGGGCTAAGTAAATCAATTAGTGAAAACAGCTGGCTATAAGAACACCAGTAACAGTAATAGCTGATATTTATTGAACACTTAGTATTCTGTGCTAGGCAGTGCTCTGAGATCTTAAATCTATAAGAACACCAGTAACAGTAATAGCTGATATTTATTGAACACTTAGTATTCTGTGCTAGACAGTGCTCTGAGATCTTAAATATTTATTTATTTATTTTATTTATTTATTTATTTTTTAAAGATGACCGGTAAGGGGATCTTAACCCTTGACTTGGTGTTGTCAGCACCACGCTCACCCAGTGAGCGAACCGGCCATCCCTATATGGGATCCGAGCCCGTGGCCTTGGTGTTATCAGCACCGCACTCTCCCGAGTGAGCCACAGGCTGGCCCTTAAATATTTATTTTTAACTGAATTATTCCTCAGAGAGAGAGAGAGAGAGAAAGAAAGAAACAACAATCACAATAATACATTGAATCTTTAGAAGGAGAGAACAGAATTGTGGTTACTAGAGGTGGAAAGGGGAGGGAGAGGGAGGAGTGAGGGTTAATGAGAAATTGATTCATGGACACAAAGAATGATTGCATATTGTGATGATGAATAAGCTAACTATCCTAATCTGGCCATCACACAGTAAATACAACTACTGATGGTCAACTTGTACCCCACAAGTATGTATAGTAAATTATCTTTCAATTACAAATAATTATTCCTCATAACAAGTTTTTTAAGTCAGTGCTATTACTTTCACCATTTAAAGATGGAGAAACAGAAAACAGACACCAGAAAGGTTAAATAATTTACCAAAGGTCATGTAGCAAAGTAGTGGTAAACTAGGATTCAAACCCAGGCAATGTGACTCTGGCATCCACAGTAGCACAGACACAGTGACAAGTCATACTTTATCTTCATTTAGCGGAGAAAAAGGAAGGTGGTGAGGACTTTGGCAAACTAGAAAACATGTGTCCCAACTAAAAGGTGCAGCTGCTCCTCAGCTCTAGCCAGTTGCTGTCCTGTAGGAATGTATGTTCCAACATTTCTAGATCTTTTGATTTTTTTTTTAAGAGAAGATTAATAATCTGAAATTTTAGGGGGAAAATCTCTTGATTATTCAATTAGGCAACAAAAATCAGCTTTTAAAATAAATAGTTGAGTGACCACATCAAGTGGGCTGGATTCTGTCCAGGGGTAACTAGCTCGACACTGGATTAAACCACTCAGGGCAGATGATTGCTGTCGTAAAGACTGTTCCTTTTTTTTTTTTTTAGTTGAGTGACCACATCAAGTGGGCTGGATTCTGTCCAGGGGTAACTAGCTCGACACTGGATTTAAACCACTCAGGGCAGATGATTGCTGTCGTAAAGACTGTTCCTTTTTTTTTTTTTTTAATTATTTTTTAAGACTGTCCTTTTTCCTTCAGAGACCTTTCTCACTTTGTCCAGAAGACCTTATTCACAGCCAATTCAAGTGACTGGTGCTTCATTCACAACCACTCTGCTCTGTGCTTTTTCCTGATAGAGTGTCCCAAGGGTCCTGACATCCTGGTGGTCCTGCTTTCAGTGATGGGGGCCATTCTGCTCATCGGCCTTGCCACCCTGCTCATCTGGAAGCTCCTCATCACCATCCATGACCGGAAAGAGTTTGCGAAATTTGAGGAAGAACGAGCCAGAGCAAAATGGGACACAGTAAGAGGCTGGGCTGGGCATTTCCTTAAGTCATGGGTTTGAGAAGCTGAAGTGGAAGCAGCTGGTGCTTCAGGTGGCCAGCGTCGGTCAGCACCAGAGTTTTGCAGGTGTCCTCTGTTCTGGAAATTGGGAGATGGTCTGACTTCCTGAAAACCACCTGATTCTTTCTCTACCGCACAGTGACCACCCACCATATCAGTGAGTACTGACTGAGTACAGATAGGACCTAGCTCTGCTCTGACACTGTAGAAGTGAAGAAACTTACTCTCCAATTGAGAGAAGCAGAACAAACTTGTCTCCAATTGAAAGAGACAAGACAAACTTATGTTGAGAATGTGCTAGTATAGTATATTACATACTAATGAAGTTCAAAGCATTAAACACAAATAGCAAAAATGTAACAGCTAACATGTATTGAGGATTTACTATGTACTAGGAACTGTTCTAAATGTTTTTTACATATTAACTTATTTCATCCCTATAACAACCCTATGTAGGGGCAATATTATTATTCTCATTTTATAGATAAATATTTTATGGAGATGCTATGTAGCTTGCCTGATTGTGGGAGGGAATTAGGTGACTAAAGGAATTACTTTTTGGGTGAACCTCTTAGGAGTAGTGGCAGGATGTCATTCCACCTCATTCTCTTTTTCCTCAAATGATGGATGATTGCTTCCAAATCAGACTCTACTCTTATGCTCTCTGCAGTTTATCCTGATTTAATTCAATCAAACAAGCATTTATTGGGAGCCTTCTATATCATAATTTCGCTCTATTCTCCTTTAGCTCATCCCATCTAAGAGCTAAAGTGTGAGTAAAACAGTCATACACCTATTTCACTGATGGCATATTTCAGAGAAGGGTCTGCCAGACAGACTTCTCAGATGAAATTTAATCCTTCAGGGCTGGGAAGGGCTGAGAATTCATTGTAAGACACTTTTCTGTTCTCTCTGCAGGCCAACAATCCACTGTATAAAGAGGCCACATCCACCTTCACCAATATCACCTACCGGGGCACTTAATGATGAGAAGTTATCCTCAGATCATTATCAAACTATTCCAGGATTGTGGGAGTCTCTGCCATCATGTTTACAGTACTTGTGGGGCGGGATTTGGGGCTTGGAGTGGGGTGCGTTGGGAGAATGTCAGTATATGGGAGTGTGGGTCTCTGAGCATGTGTGCGTACTCGCGCATGTGTATGCTCCATGTGGAGAATGTGTAATTTAAAACTTGTGATGTGTCCCTATAAGCAGAGCTCCTCAGCCTTTGTCCTCAGAATGCCCCCTGCAGGGATGCTTCCTGCTTAGCTTGAGGGTGCCCTGTGGAGCCAAGCAGGTGTTCTTCATTACCTCAGTGGGATGCCAGCTTTCCTTGTCAGGCCATTCTCTCTGAAGAGAAGGGCAGAGCTGAGGCCTTGTTTCAGAGGAAGAGGTGCCAAGCCCTGGCTCTATCCTTAGTTGATAAGTTTATGGTTCTTGGGCCTGACACTCAGCAGCTATGGTAGGAACTGCTGGGCTTTGCCGCCCAGCCGTGTCATCTGTACCTCTATCAACATTCCTTTCCCTCAGGCTGAAAGAGGAGTTAGGGAGAATTAGGCATCAGAACTGCCTGTGCCTTTTGCCGTCACCTCAGTCCAGCTATGGTTCCCTCATAAGGGGAATCCTTGCTACCTAATTCTTTGACCTGCTGGAAGTGTGGATGGCAGGACCACTCAGGGGTCATGCATGGCCTGGGGGATGTGCCAGCACCCCCCACTTCATAGTCACAACGCTTTGGATTTGCCTCACTGGCAGCCCTACCCTGGAGGTTTGTTTAGAAGAGGTTGTGTCACCCTTAGACCAGCACCGCCTCTTTATCCACTCAGGGGTCATGCATGGCCTGGGGGATGTGCCAGCACCCCCCACTTCATAGTCACAACCCTTTGGATTTGCCTCACTGGCAGCCCTACCCTGGAGGTTTGTTTAGAAGAGGTTGTGTCACCCTTAGACCAGCACCGCCTCTTTATCTCCTACTTCCACACCCTTACTGCTATAGACATTTGCTGTGTACTGGGGATTTCTCTCATGACCAAACATTTTTCCTCCAAGGGCTGGTGTCATGCTTAGAGCCAGAGGTTTTGTTCTACCCTTTAGGCCTTCTGTCCCTTGCCCAGGGCACCTCCACACACCCAACTCTGTGCTTCTGTGTGCCACATCCATCCATGGGGCTGAATGCATTGATCTACCTCTTGGGTGTCTTGTGAAGGAATCATTCCCGTGAGTCTGCTGGGTATAAGTGCTAGGATGGAATGATGGGCCAGTTGTATCAGCATGTGTAGCCTGTTCTCCTATGGGCTGGACAACCTCATTTTAACTCAGTCTCTAATTTGAGAGGCCACATGTACAGTTTTGTTTTATTTTTTTCACTGGGGCACCTGAAACTATGATAAGGTTTGCTTAATCTAAAGGAACATGCATAAAAATGTACTTGCATTATATTTGTAACGTTACTTGACGATGAAGAAAGAGAACATAAAAAAACACACAGACTTGGGTGGGATACATACACTCCCCCTTGGCATCATTCATAGCAACTTGCTGCCCAGTTGCTGGGTCTATAAGGGCGCTCTCATCCTGGAAGCCTGTGGGGACGGACTCGTGGACACACAGGCCTTTCTAGAGGAGGAGGGACTGTTCCTTTGTCCCAGCAATAGCAGTTGCTCCATTGATGTTGATCTAACATTAAGAAGCACACCCCACCACCCAGGGAACAGGGAAAGACTTAGTGTTCTGATGATCCAGAAAGTCTGAGTCCTGGCCTCAGTGTTGCAACTAAGGAATCTTTAACCTTAATTAAGGCAAATCATTTTCTTCTCCCCAGGGCTCAACTTTCTAGTTTGAAAAATGGGTTTTGATCAGTGAATCTTGAAGGTTCCTTTCAGTATCAAGATTCTAAGATATTTGGACTTAATGTGGCAACAAACATGCAGTCAAGATTCCATGGGATATTGAAATTGTTTGTTTTTTTTTAGTTGGAAGATCTAAGCGACCTGGCTTTGGCAAGAGCAGAAGCCATTCCATATCACTTTTCTCAATGAATCTCACTCCATCCTCTCTCCAGACTCCTTCTCCAGTTTTGTTCATAGTTACATCTCCTGATGTAGCACTTAAGCTCAGTTTATTATTTCTTACTTCACTTTGCATACATTTGCATCCACATATTAGGGAAGAGGAATCCATAAGTAGCTGAAATGTGTATTCTGTATCCTGTGTTAACATTGAGAATAAGCCTTGGGGGCAGTGATTGAGCCGTCTCACCATGGATTACCCCTTACTGTAGGGAATGGGAATATGGTAGAGGGATAAATCAGGGAGGGGGTGGGATGATCATGAATCCAAGAATTTTAGAACCTAACTATAACCTTCAGCTACTGTCCATGAGAGTAACAGTGGGACATTTTCTTTAGATAAGATAGTTTATATGAAGAAATTATATCGAAGGGGGAAGAAAGTGTATTTAAAGGCTGAATAAAATCAGTAGGGATCTTGCTTGAGCTTCTGGAATGAAGATCACAGGCCCTGAAGAGCAGTACTGTTTGTCAACATGTGGCTGTGTTTATGAGACAGCAGATATCAGTCAGCTTTGGCGTCATGTGGGGTGAGCATCTAAACAGTATTCTGACATCGGTCAACACAGCACAAAGGGATTGTGCCCAGCTCTTTTGGAGATAATTTATGTCCAGTCTCAGGGTCTGTGGACAATGATGGGAAACTCTGAACATTCCCGACAAGTTGCCCTGTTAGGAGTCAGTTCTTTACCTTTGAGATATTCCTTGGCCATGATTTCAAGGTAATTTTGTTAAGTATTCCTGGTTGAAATTACTTAAGTGCCTTCCTGACTTCCTACCACCTTCCGTTTGAGTTGTGCAATAGTGAATTAAATGTGCTTTCCAAAAAGAGTTGGCCTAAGGCTGCCCTGTGCTTCCTGTGTTATTTCTGTTTCTTTTGGGTGAAAAGAATAAGTGTCATTGCCTCACAAATGATAATTTTAGAGCAAGTACATTTCCAAATGTAACAGAATAATGACCACCACCGGAACTGAAGCTAGCTTCAGAATCCAGAGTTTTTCTTTAGGCTTAATAATCTTTTCCGAATGACTACGTTATTACTATTTTAAGAGGTTTTCTTTTCTTTTTTAATTGGAGATTTTTTAGTAACTTGTGCAACCTCAACAGAACAAATTGTCAATGTAGCCTAGGTTTTGTTTATAGGAAACATAATGCCTTTAGGCTTAATAATCTTTTCCGAATGACTACGTTATTACTATTTTAAGAGGTTTTCTTTTTTTTTTTAATTGGAGATTTTTTATGAACTTGTGCAACCTCAACAGAACAAATTGTCAATGTAGCCTAGGTTTTGTTTATAGGAAACATAATGCGTAAAATAGAGGCTTAGTGGAAAATTACTAACAGGACCACTTAAATGCCCAACTTTTTATTTAAGGGAGCAGGTGTCAAAGTGTGGTTCCAGTACCAGCAACATCAATGTCACCTGGAAACCTGTAAGAAATGAAAACTTATTTGGGACCCCCCCACCAAATTCTGGGTTTCCTAGAGGAAAGACCAGCAACATCAATGTCACCTGGAAACCTGTAAGAAATGAAAACTTATTTGGGACCCCCCCCACCAAATTCTGGGTTTCCTAGAGGAAAAAAAAAAAAAAAAAAACGAAAATTGACAGGCCCTACACTAGAACCACTGAATCAGAAAATCTGGAGGTGAGGCCCAGCAATCTGTGTTTTTAATAAACGCTCCTGGTGATTCTGATGCCTGCTCAAGTTTGACGACAACTGACTTAAAGAATCATAAATGTATCCTTCTGGCCTAGAAAGAAGTTTACAGAAAATCGGCTCAGTTACTACACAGTTAAGAATATACCTTAGCTGATAGATTCCGAAAACCAAATATCCACCCACATAAAATGAAATTTTACTTTTGATCCATTTTCCAAGTTAAGTGATATCGGGCTTCTTGAGTGCACTCACAGCTGCAAATTCCCATGAAAAACTAAAAGAAGTAATAAATCAGAATTCTGGGGGGAAAAACATCTCATAGGAAGGATACGTGGCAGGCACCAAAGAAAACTTTGTGTTTACCAAGCTGCAAGCAAGAAAATACTCAAAGAATTTATTCACAGGAGATGACATCAAAATCTTAATTATTAACATTATCATCCTATAGGATGTCAGAATATGGCTTTAGAATTTATAACCTCACTTTTTGCTATCTAAAATTTATTGAGCACTGACAGTGTGGGGTCGAAGTACTTTACAGAACATTCATAACATAATCTTTGCCTTTGAGTCTTAAATTTCTTACATATGTCTTTTTTAACATAATACAATGTATGACATCATAAAAATGTTACATGAACATAGACTGAGTCCTTATATGGTGAAATCTTGTGAGATTCACTGTGTTTTATTTACATCTTGGTAACTGGTGACTAAATGTCTAAGTGAAAACAAAGGACATTATGTGGAAGTGAAATGAAAAGCTATATGTCAAACTACATTTTTGCTCTGGGCCTCTGTAACAGAGCCATCTAATGACCACTGGGCCCAATTACAAACAGATATCTGAGAATTACAGTGCACTCAATTTGCACACTGGTATAATGGAATGACAACATGCTTTGCAAATAAGTCATTTAAAAATAATTTTTGATTTAGTTATGTAATACAATATATTTCTGGAAATACATATTCCTAATTTAGTTTGGCTGAAGCATGCAAGGAGGCAATCTCAGATGCTTATGATTAGGGTTAAGTACAGTTGTTCCTCAGTATCTGTGGGGGATTAGTTCTAGAACCTTTGGCAAATACTAAAATCCACAGGTGTTCAAGTCGCTGATATAAAATGGCATGGTATTTGCATATCACCTGTGATATCCTCCTGTATACTTTAAATCATCTCTAGATTACTTATAATACCTAAAACAATGCAAATGCTATGTAAATAGTTGTTAACTATAGTGTTCAGGGAATAATGACAAGGAAAAAGTCTGTATATATTCATTTGCAGTTGGTTGAATCCATGCATGCAGAACCCATGGATGTGGAGGGCCAACTTTATATCACTTAATGTGGCTACCTAAGAACCAATTGTATGTGAAAAGAAAACTAAGAGGTCAGGAACATGATTTCCTTCCTTGCAACTGCTAATGTCATAGTGATGTCCCTCCAATACCTTGCACAGAGGAAACACTTTTCATCGTCTGTGTATTTTCTGACAGTACACCAAAGAATGTACACAGAAAGCAACATTTAGAAAATTTAAGAGCCTTTAGGCAAACATCCATTGTAAATTATCCTTTAGTAGTGTCCCTGAAAAGAACTTTGTAAGGAAAAAGTTTCACAATTGATTGCATTTTAACTAACATATTAGTTGGATTTTCCAGTGACTCATATACAATTGGCACGATTCTTTGGAGAAGTCAGAGTGATGGGTGTGTAAATATTGCTTTGGCAGCTAATGGAAATATTTAGTTAAGAAAAAGGAAAAATGTTGATGGGTAGATGCTGGACTTTGCTTTTCCTGACCCTTCTAATCACCACTGTGACAGAGATGAACTGTGCCCCAGAATCTGTTTTCTCCTTCTCACATAGTATTAGAACTCCCAATTTTTAGTTGGGCACATTGCTGCCCAGAATAAATACCATGTTTCCTAGTCTCTCTTGCAGCTTAGATGTGCCATATCCATCTCACAGACAATGAGAGAGATGTAAATGAAAGAGGTGTAAAGAACTTCTAGTAAATGCCA